AACTCTGAGAATAGAACAAGACTTAACCCTAACATATTTCAGGGGATTAACATGTGAGGAAATGCGAGAAGGGTCCTTCTACATATGACATGTGCTGGAACAAAATCTATAAGCAAAGCAGCCCAATTTACTGGTAAGAGTGCGATTACGGAGCAGGTGCATGTCATTAAAGGAGAGAAGGAAGGTGAAATATTTTCTCTGGCCTGTGAAGAAGGACCAGAGACTCTTTGCAGCCTGGCAAGCTTATGGCTTATGGTATACAATTCGGATTGTGGAGCCAGGAAACAGCTTTAATCACTGCTATAAATTAAGATGAAGGGAGAAAACAAGAAACGCTAACTCCAGGTGAAATTTAAAGCTAGGCTGGTGTGGTGCCTCACACCAGTAATCCCAGTACTTTGGGAGGCTGAGGTGGGTGGAGCACTTGAGCCCAGGAGTTTGAGACCAGCCTAGGCAACATATCAAAACCCTGTTTCTACAAAAAATACAAAACTTAGCCAAGTGTGGTGGCATGTACCTGTGGTGCCAGATACTCGGGAGGCTGAGGTGGGAGGATCCCTTGAGCCCAGGAGATCAAGGATGCAGTGAGCAGTGAGCACACCTCCGCACCAGTTTGAGTGACATAGTGAGACTCTGTCTCAAAAATAAATAAACAAAAACAAAAACTGGGAAATAATGTGAGAAAACCAAAGACCTACAAAGAAGCATTTCATCCCCAAGCATATTATCATAGATAAATAGTAAAACACTAACATCAATGACCAATTCATTAGCAAGTTGCGTGTATCTAAATTTCAACATCTCTGCCTTAGCCTGCAGCACCATTATCTCTCACAGGGACCACTGTGATAGCCTGCCTGCCCTCCATTTCCTCCATCCATATCCCTCTGGATAGTAAGAGAGAGCTTGGAAAATGTAAATTAAATTAGGTCACTCTTCTGATTCTTTAGAGTAAAATCCATAGTCCTCGCCATGGCCCTACAAGGTCCGATATATACCTCAGTCTTGTTTCCCATCATACTTTCCCTAACTCTGACTCTTTCCAGCCACATTGTTTTTTTCCTTATTCTTTGAATCCCTAAAGCTTATTCCCACCACTTTGAGCCATGGCCTGGAATTCTCCTCCTTCAGATGTTCACAAGGTTCGCTCTTCTGTTTCATCTGACCTCTGCTCAAATTAGGAGGACTCTGCTAACGTCTCCAGAGAAGACTGCACTGATCACCTGCTTGAAATAGAATTCCCCTGCACAAATCACTGCCTGATTCCATGGTATCCTTTTTCCTTTATGGTATTTATCAGTGTTGGAAAATGTATATATGTACGTGCACACACATGCATGCATACATGTATGGATACATACATGTGGTGATATATAACTATATATAAATATATAAACTATATATATTTTATATGTGTATAAACTACATACAAAAACTATAGTTATATAGTTTATATATAGTTATATAATATATAGTTATATAGGTAATTATATATAGTTATATATAAACTATATAGTTAAACTAGTTAAACTAATTTATAGTTAACCTAGTTAAACTATATAGTTTATATTGTTCATATATAATGTAATATACACTATATTATATATTATAGCTTATATTATATAATAGTTTATATATAATATATAATAGTTTATATATAAACTGTATAACCACATATAGTTTTATAGTTTATATGTAGTTACATAGTTACAGTTTATATGTAGTTACATAGTTATAGTTATATAGTCATATATAACTACATATATAGTTATATGGTTATATATAAAACTACATATAAACTATAAAACTATATGTAGTTACATAAAGTTTTTTTATATATACAAATAGTTCTTTTTTATTGACTGTGTTTTATCTCTTCCACTGAAATATATTCTCCACTGAAATATGTAACTATGTAATTATAAACTATAAAAACTATATATAGTTACATATATATTTTTTCTATACATTATATATATTTTTTCTATATATAGAGATTTTTTTCTAGATAGATTTTTTTAATTGCCTGTCTCTTCTCTTCCACTGAAATATACTCTCAGGAAGACACAGAACTCTTTGGTCCTAGTAGGTGCTTTTTAAAATTAGCTCTAATTACTACTGATTTTTTAAATTAGTTTTTCAGTCACTATACTCTAATTCAGTATAACCTTTTCAATTATAATGTGTCTTTCATTGAGTCTGCCTACAGGGAAAAAAAAATACCTCCAGCTACAATTTTTCTTAAATTCTGATTTGTGTGATAGTAATGTTGTAAATTGATAAATGGTTTGTCTTGCAAGCATTGTTTTATCAACTTGATTGAAGCCCTTTCCTAAAAGGCTAGTTCACTCTGGTGGAGGTGAAGATAAAACCAAGCCCCTCATGTGGTGTCTTGGCAGCCAATGATTGTCTCTACCCAAGACTACAAGCGTTTGTTTTTTTTTTTTTTTTTCTTTTTCTTTTTTATAAGCCCTTTCCTTAGTATCACCACACTAAATCATGTCAACTTATTCACGGTTATCTGTGAGCAGGAAGGAGGAAACTGTATAAACAGATTGTTGTTAATAGTATATGTCACCTTTTTTCACAAATCTTTATTTTGCCTCATCTTTTTTATTTTCAATGACTTGACTTAAATATAATCAAGAGTTATTTTTTATAAAACTTTGGAATAACACCAATCCTTACATTTCAACACATTGGTTAGGTCAAAGGCCTAACCAATTGCCTCCATGAAGACAAAATCTTTTAGATCCTTATTAAAATTATATCACACGATCGATTCTCAAGTCTGTTTTAAAGCCGTTTTCTGATGACATACCAGTGCTTCATTATGACTGTCTGAAATCAAGTTAAGGCCAGGATTCCTACACGACACAACATATAGTACCTCCATCTCATGAAGCTGAAATTCATACCAACAATGAAAGGTCATCCACAGGCAAACTGCAGCATATTTCACTGAAAATTTTGAGGACTATTTCAGCCTCTCAATTTCCAAGAATAGTAAGGCTATTTCCAAGCTACTGACAGATTTTAAATTGCCATACCTTTTGTTGTGGCCATCTCTCATTTTTTGTAATTCAAGAAATAGCTTTGTCAATTTCCTGACTGAGCTTCTAGCACATTATTAAAAGTTATATATTTCTTCTCATACATTCTTTATTATTTTCATACCCTTAAGTAAGTCAGTCAAGTAGTCACAAGATCATGATTAGATTGTCTATTATAGTGCCTTACTCATAGAAGTTATTCATTAATTATTTGACTAAAGGAAATAATAAATTATCAAAATAGTAAGTACACAAATATATTGGAAACATGTCTTCCTCAAATATGTTGCAAATATGCTTCATCCTTTCTAGTGAGAGAAGGTTAATAACATCAGAAGGTGTAATGGGGATCTGATCAATTTTCTTCAAAAGTGTAACTCTTGAGAATTCTTAAAAAATAATTTCTTTGTCGCTGTTGTTGAGACAGGGGCTCCCTCTGTCACCCAGGATGGAGTTCAGTGGCGTGATCATAGTTCACGACAGCCTCCAATTACTGGGTTCAACCATCCTCCCACCTCAGCTTCTCGAATGCTGGGATTACATGTGAGTGCCACCATGCCTGCCTAGTTTTTTTAATTTTTTACTTTTTGTAGAGATGGATCTTGCTGTGTTTCCCAGATTGGTCTCAAACTCCTGGCCCCAAGCAATCCTCCTACCTTTGTCTCCAAAAGTGCTAGGATTACATCATGCTTGTCCTTTAAGTACAATTTCTAATAACGTATCATTTATTCTGCTTTATAGTGTTTTATGTCCTCATTTAAGTTAAAATATATGAGAAGTGATCAAGCAAGAGATAATGCAAGGTCCATAATTTCTAGTAACTAATTAGCAAAGATTCAAAGTAAAACAAACATATCCAGAGGATGCCACTATCAAATCTATAAATGCCACATGAATGGATTTAGGAAATAAAGGAACAACATTCTGACATAAATATTAAGTAGGTGACCACAAAATATCAGGAAAAAAATGGGCAAAATGAGGGAAAATAGTAGAGGAACTAGCGAAACTGTCAAACATGAATTCTATACACACTGGGTATCTGGTTTTTGTTTTTGTTTTTTGTTTGTTTGTTTGTTTGTTTGTTTTTTGCTATTGGCCTGTTTTCAATGTGGTGACTGGTGGGGGTGGAGGAGCGGCAGGTAGAGTGTCCATTGTTTGGCATCAGCTGGATGATTTCCTCATCAAATAAGGTTTCCTCAACAATTCTGAGAACAGAGATAAACATTCCTGGTATCATAATAAAACACTAATATAATAAATAACTAAGCTGAAACCAATCATATGACCTGTCATATTAAGAATGCAGGTAAGGCTGGGCGCGTGGTGGCTGACACCTGTCATCCTAGTACTTTGGGAGGCCAAGGCGGGTGGATCACGTGAGGTCAGGAGTTCAAGACTATCCTGGCCAACATGGCAAAACCCCATTTCTACTAAAAATACAAAAAAATTATCTGGGCGTAGTGGCAGGTGCCTGCAATCCCAGTTACTCAGGAGGCTGAGGTAGGAGAATCGCTAGAACCCTGGGGTTGGAGGTTGCAGTGAGCCAAGATCGCACAATTGTACTTCAGCCTGGGGCAGAGAGCAAGACTCTGTCTCAAAAAAAAGTACAATTGTGCGATCTAAACAAACAAAAAAAACAGGTATGCAAATAGGGATTAAACACAAATCTGAATCTCATTTATGAGATGAGTTTGTGTAGGCAAGTCAACCCTGGAAGCTCAGCTATCTCATCTGTAAAATACGGATAATGCCCATTTCACGGGCTGGTTATAAGGAAGAAATGAAGCACTTGGCCCAGTTTGGACACAGTTTCTGAATCAATGGTGATTTGCTACTGTTGCTTGTTGTTATTATCCTCGTTTTTATAGTTGGTATTCTTTTTATCTTGGGCCATTTCTGAACATATATCGTACAATTAAATGATCGCTTAAAAAGAGAACTTACCCACAAAGAGCTGACTGTTGAGCTGTAAGAGGACATGCCCATCAGCAGGGGCGGGCTGTGTCTTCCGTGTCAGCTGGTCCACTTGAAGGGAGGCTTCCTTCATGTTCCTTTCAATCCTCACGTGGTGCCACTGGTTGTCGTTGAAGTGCGTGGGTGACTGTACTGAGATTTCAAAAGGCCCATTCCCCACATCAAATGAAAAAGTCACCACTGTCGGAGCTGGAAATATTACACATAAAGATTGTTCTAGTGAGTTCCTGTGGTGGAGTGCCGAGTCTCCAATATACTTAGGAACAGCACCACAGCATAACAATCACTGAATAGAGAGATAAACATAGCATGGTTTGAATGCTACTGCTTGAAACTCATGACACTAACACAGAACTATGTCTTCTGATGTGAAATGAGACAGTTAAATACATTCACATTTTTAGAAAAAAAAAAAAACCAACGGTATTCTAAGATAGTCCTCAGAGCTAATTTTTCCTATTGCTAAAAAGTAAAGCTATTTATCCAAGGCAAGGAAACTAAATAGCAACTGGCATTGTAACTAAAAATAATTGTTATCGTGATTCAAACTTTATATAATTTTTAAGGCATGCTATACACATTTGATACTAACATAATAGCAGCTTAGAAGTATATCAAAATGAGTGGTTAAGTAATTCGTAATTAACTAAGAAATTGCTTTTTAGTTTTAATTAACTGAAATTAAAACTGCTTTTAAATTGGCACAAGAAACTACCAATTATTTTTCCAAATTATCACGTTAAGTATCAAATTATTTTCTTACAAAAAGGATAAGTTAATATTGAGTCATTCAAAGGGATGCAATGAAAAGAATCAGATGATAAAGTAGACACATGAGTAGTTTAAAAATTAGTTAAAAGATTAACTACTAAACGATAGAATCTCATACACTTCTCTGGGAAAGAAGACTTACAGCGAAGCTCTATCCGTATAAAATCAGTAATCCCCAAGTTCTCTAAGAATACCCCAGATGAAGCTGTTGTCTTAAAAAAGAAAGACACATCTGCGCTAAGTTCTCCGTGGAAAGTAGGAAAATGAAGATATGAAGCCTCAGTATCAAAGGAAGCTGAATTCCAAAATGATCCTGTTTTGTGAACAAAAAGGAAGAAAAAAATTCAAAAAGAAAACAAATTCATGAAATAAAATGAATGACAATTACATTTTCTATTTTTAGCATTTTTGCTATTTAAAAAGGTATTTATACAAATCTGCTCTTTTTCTGTCAACTATGTAGTATACAAAACATGAGCATAAGAGATTTCATAGGGATAGAAATCCTGGATTTTTTCCAATAGAAAGTAAGAATGATCATTACAGAAATGGTCTAAATGTTATATTTTATATGGAACAAATATCCTTAGCCTCAATACTATATCCTCCACCAAAGTGATATTATACGATCTGCTAACATTGATAAGTAGGCAATCTTTTATAACTTCAAAATTAAAACACCTACCTGTTTCAAACAAAAACCCCAAAGAAGCTCACAGTATATTTGTTCTAACACTTCTAACACACACACTTCACAGTTACATACACTGTTTTCTTTAATGGGCCTGTGATTTTCCAAACTGAGACTGGCATTCTAAATAGTCTCGTCTAATTACAAACCAACATACAACTTACTCTGTCCAAGCTGACATTCTCATGAAAATACTCTTTTTATTCAAAATTATCTCTTACTTTGCCAATAAGAATGAAGTAGATGAACAGCGGATTAAAAGTGTTCTCAGAATGTTTACAAATGCTCAAAATAGGCAGAAAATGTTGAAAACGTTGGGATATAAATTAGGAGATCTGAAAAAAAATGCAGACTATAAAGTTAATTATAATTTGCTGCCAAAATACCACGTATCTTGACTTTCTCACTCCTTTTTTGGTATCTACAACTTTCCTTTTGAAAAAATATTGTGAACCATATATAGCAAAAAGTATGGAAAATCAAATATAAATGCAACAGCATGAGCTGACAGGAGTGAAATCCGACTGGATACATGTGGTTGATGAGGAGTATAATCAGAGAAACGAACTGCATTGTCTGCTGCCAATAGCAAGTTCTCTGCACATGAAATACAAATATACATCTTTAGTTTTAAGCAACTGCCTCTACACACATTCCCTACACTGGATAAAATTCTATCTAAATTACCTTCCTGGAAGAAAGATGTATTGATTCTCTGAAGTTGGAAAACAGCAATTTCAAAACAACAGTTCGTTATGTTAGCAGAGAACAGATACCAAGCTACAAAGTTAAAAATCACAAACTTGACTTTGCTCATACGTGTTTCTTAAATTTTAATTTACTTTGTATAAATTCTAGACCAAATAATGCTTATATCTATTTTTGTTTGTTTTTCTTGTGGATCTGATTCAAAAGTCAATTCTCAGCTTGTGTGTGATAATTTTAGAGCTGAATTTATTCAACCAAGAATCTACTTTGAAGCTTTTCCTCCCAGAGTCAAATGAAACCATATATTACCAGAGTCACATCAAGCCTATTCCTTATGTCCCTTTTACAGCTATTCCTACACTAGACCTTTGGATTTCTAGGAAAAAATAAACACAAGAAAATGTAAAATATCAAGTCAGGGATAACAACACATTTGCATTCTTAGAAGTTCTTAGCTGATCTGTTTTCAGAACGAATTAGATGCCTTTTTGTTTAAATGTTATATATTAAAATAAAAATAAACTTCACATTATGGGATGTTATTAAATCTTATTTTGTCTGATTAGAAAGAGGAGCATTCGTAATTACTTAAAGATTTAAATTAGGTAATAATATGATACAACATTTTTTTCATATTATATCGTAACTAACTTAATAAAGCATCACATAGTAGGCTTCAAAGAACTGCTTGAAGCAGAGGAACAATTCTTTGAATTGCTGCTATCTGTACATGAATGCTTTTATAGCAATGAAACCAATTTATTACTTTAGGCATCTTCAGCACTCTCATATACATAATAATGTCTATTTCATTTAGTTAGGAGACCTTATTTTATACATTCACAAAAGGTAGAAAACGAGGTAAGGAAATTTTATTGGGTTAAGAAATTGCTGCTAATTCAAAACAATTATAAAGAAAGCAAAGGCCAATACTTCCATGATCAAATAATGTTAATGGCATGCGGTATCCCAGCCCTTTACACACTGTGCTAAGAGACACCCACCAGAATCTAGGCCACCTGAAAGGAAAGGCAAAGAGGGGGAGGAAACAGAGCTCAGCAGGCAGGCAGCAGCAGGAGCTGCAGGCTTTTGGAAGGGAGCATTCTATGGATTCGATGGTTTAAAATTCCCTAATCTCATGGAGGGTGAGAGGAGAACGATAGTTACCAGAGGCAGGAAATGGCCTACTGGGAAGAGAGGAAGAGAGATTGGGCAATGCATATAAAATTCCAGTTAGATGGAAGGAATAAGCTTCATGTTCAATAGCAGACTAGGGGGATGACAGTTAACAACATTGTCGTGTGTATTTCAAAATAGAAGAAAGGACTCAAATGTTCCCAACTCCCAGAAATGATAAATGCTCAAAGTGATGGATATCCTAAATCCCCTGACTGGATCATTACACATTCTATGCATGTAACAAAATATCACAAGTACCCCATAAATATGCATAAGTATTATGTATCTATGAAAAATTTAAATAAATAACAATCACAAAAAAGTAAAAATAAAATAAAATTCCCTAAATTACATCGTTGTCAATTTGATTCAATATAGGGCACTAGAGATTTTAGAATAATTTTTTAGGCCAGGCATAGTGGCTCATGCCTGTAATCCCAGCACTTTGCGAGGCCGAGGCAGGCAGATCACTTGAGGTCAGGAGTTCGAGGGCAGTCTGACCAACATGGTAAAACCCTGTTTCTACTAAAAACGCAAAAATTAGCCAGGCATTGTGGCAGACGCCTGTAACTCCAACTACTGAGGAGGCTGAGGCAGGAGAATCACTTGAGCCTGGGAGGCTGAGGTTGCAGGGAGCCGAGATTATGCATCTGCACTCCAGCCTGGATGACAGAATGACACTCTGCATCAAGAAATAATAAATAAATAAAATAATAATTTTCTAGAAACTCTATCTTTTATCTTACCAGAATAAATTATATAAAAGAATAAATCATATAGTCATTCACATAAAAGAGGAAGATGTACTAAGTATTGAATTTCATACAGAAAGTTAAAAATGAAGTCAATTTAGGAAAATTAACTTAGTACTATGCTAGGACTATAAGTACTTTTAAAAATAATTATTTTGCCAAACATTTATAGAATTCCTTTTTGAAACAAAAACAAAAACAAAAACAGACTTACGGACACAAAGTAGATTTGTGGTTTCCTAGGGTTAGGGAGATGGGGTAATTGAGGGACAGCAGTGGCTCAGAAGGGTAACGTTTCTTTTCAGGGTAATGACCATGTTCTAAAACTGGTGTGACCATTGTTACACAACGTAGATATACTAAAAGCCATTGAATAGCACATTTCATATCACTGAAATGTGTAATACATGAATTTGATATCAATAAAGCTGTTTAAAAAAACAGTATTTTAAAAACACTGTTTTTCAAGGTAATACATTTTACTTTTAAAATCAAAATGCATATAGCATGCTAATACTACCTTTCTTAAAAGCAAAATAAAATGAAATATGGAAATGCCAAAGCAAGGAATCATTCACTATTCAAATGAGTCTTTCTGAATGCTTAATCATCGCAAAGAAATAAGCCAGAAATATGGATTTAATTAAAATGTTTACTTTCAAACATTTGTAGATTCTTATGCAGGTGTAAGAAAGAATACAGAAAGATTCCAGGTATCCTTTATCTAGTTTCCCCCATGATAATCCCTTACAAAACAATAGTTGGATGCCGAAACCAGGACAGTGACATTGACGCTAAGATGCAGAACATTTCTATCACCACAGTATTCTTCATGCTTCCCTTGCACAGCTAAACCCGCTTTCCTCCCTCTGCACCCCTTCTTTAACCTCCTGGCAACAACTCATCAGTTCTTCATTTCTACAATTTCGTCATTTCAAGAATGCTTTCAAATAAAAGCATACAATATGCAGTCTTTTGAGATTAGCTTGCTTTAAAAAAAAAAAAATCAGAACTCATTTTTGTTTTTGACAGATTCTTACTCTGTCACCCAGGCTGGAGTGCAATGGTGCAATCTTGGCCACTGCAACCTCTGCCTCCAGTATTCAAGCGATTCTCCTGCCTCAGCCTCCTGAGTAGTTGGGATTACAGGTGTACACCACTATGCCTGGCTAATTTTTGTATTTTTAGTAGAGACGGGGTTTCACCATGTTGGCCAGGTTGGTCTCGAACTCCTGACCTCAGGTGATCCACCTACCTTGGCCTCCCAAAGTGCTGGGATTGTAGGCGTGAGCCACCATGTCTGGCCCAGAATTACTCTTTGAAGATTTACCCATGTTGTTTTCTGTATCAATAGTTCATCTCTTTCTACTGCTGAGTAGTATTCCATGGTATGGATGTATAACTTATTTAACCATCTGCCTGCGGAAGGACACCTACATAGCTTTCAGCTATTACCAATAAAACTTCTGTCAACATCTGTGTACAAATTTTTATGTGAATATAAGTTGCCAGTTCCCTGGGGAAAATGCCCAAGAGTACAATCACTGGATTGTATAAGAGTTGCAAACCATTGTGGAAGACAGTGTGGCAATTCCTCAAGGATCTAGAACCATAAATACCACTGGACCTAGCAATGCCATTAGTGGGTATATACCCAAAGAATGATAATCAATAAACATGTATGTTTATTGCAGCACTATTTACAATAGCAAAGACTTGGAACCCACCCAAATGCCCATCAATGATAGACTGGGTGAAGAAAATGTGGCACATCTACACCATGGAATACTATGCAGCCTTGAAAAAGAATGAGCTCATGTCCTTTGCAGAGACATGGATGAATCTGGAAACGATTAGTCTCAGCACACTAACACAGAAACAGAAAACCAAACACCACATGTTCTCACTTGCAGTTGGGAGTTAATCAATGAGAACACATGGACACAGGGAGGGAAACATCATACACTGGGGCCTGTTAGGGGG